GTCTGCGAGCTTTTCATTAGCTCAAGCATGTCTGAGTTGCACTTATGTTCACTACAAAGCTCTAGTGAGCACCAAATTACACCAAGAGAGGGCTTAATTACTGGATTCTGTTCGAGGGCGAGCTGAAAAGCTCACTGAAAATTGAAAAGAATCAAAAGTATTACATGCTGTGCGTTACGCTCAACCCAGTGTCGAGTAGCACTACTATACTGGTACGCCTAGCGGAGCTGGAGCAGTAGTAGTTGCGCCGCTACAGTGACCATGGTCTAAGGTAAATCATAATCACACCCCCAAACTGATTGGTCTTGTAGCCCTTTAATGTAGATTAGTAGAACGAAACTGATGTAGAAGGATGGAGACCTCCTTTTTCATCGGACTGACTTTGTAATTCACTGCAAAGGGCAAGTGGGCAGTCAAAGGACAGCAGTAATGTAAATAAAAGTTGAATGTGATGCGTACCATAAAAAGACCAGACACCGACTAGCACTTTCATCAGTCACTCAACGAGACGTCGGAAACACTAAAGGGGAGGTGGTGTTTAGTCAGATGAGATACAAATAACGATGGTCGAGCCATTTTCAGACCACTGCAGACGACGAAAGGATCGAAATGTGAAGCTTAACAAAGGTTCCGGTGAGACTCTTCTTGAGGGTGAGGGTGGCATTCAAAGGACTTCTCTTATTCATTTTTATCGCTTTCGGCTAAATCACTTTCCAGCACCGTTCGCCTTGCACGTTCCATCTGTAGGGTGAAGCAAAAACCCTCCTCTGTTTCAGGTAGAACCACGCTTGCTTAAGGACATCTCCACATGCCTTCCTACGCCTTCCCACCCTTCCCCCCCCCCCCGATGTCGAACAACCTCGAGATTCTATCTGAGCCTTGTGCGACAGAAGCGAAGACATCTTCTAGACCCATTTTACTGCTTGCCCTGCAACGTCGCAGTTCGACCGCCATCAGTTTTAGACGGTTGCAAGGCAAGTACAGTATCGATCGCTGTGGATGACGATGGGGCGTGTCAGCGGGGCGGAGTTTGGTAGGCACTAACCCGTTTTTCCCCTTTCGGCATGCGACAAGACTGTATCATATCGCTCGTATCAGTCATTTTGCGCCAGTTGTATGACTTGGCGTCATCAGCAATTGGTGGAGAACGGTCTGGCAGCGTGCCAAACGCAGCCGTGCTGACACGTCCCAGCGAACAAGACGAAGGGGATCTTATCACACTGATCTAATTCTTTTTTTTCTTCACAATTCTTTACACAACTACTAGTTTCTACATGGTTCCATGTAAAATGCTTTTGTTTCTTTACACAAATACTATTTACTACATGGCCATGTAAATAACGAAACGGTGTAAGAGAAAAGATAGGCAGCCGGTTTATATTGTAGATTACGGCTTTACAAATTTAATGATGGATCGGTGTCTCACAACCTACACCCACGAAACCTCATATATGTCCTGTAACGTACCTCATTATTTATATCAAACACGCCTTCTTGAATTTTTCTATAGATCTCTTTCGCCGTGTCGATGAAAGCCTGCAAACCAATTCATTAGAATACCTCCAACTTTGTTCACTAAGAGCTTCAGCAACTGATTACCTCTTCAACATTGGCTGCTGTCTTTGCACTTGTCTCCATGAACACGAGCCCGTGTTCTCTGGCAAAAGCCTCGCCTTCTTCCCGTTTTACTTCACGTCGAGCTTCAAGATCACTGAAAACGACTGACATACCGCGACGGACCTTTTCAGACGACAAAACGAAGGTGAAATTGACAGTATGCCTCGTACCTCTTATTTCCAATCAACATTATCACCATGTTGCTGTTGCTGTGTTGTCGTGCATCCTCTAGCCATGACGTCAAATGGTTGAACGTATCCCGACTGCAATAAAAATGATTAAACTGTAGATACAACCATTTGGAGCACTTCAATCCTCGGATCAGTCAAAGTTGACCTTCCTAACGCTTCCTCCTAACAGTACAACCCAATTGAAACTCTCATTCAGGAGAAAATTATTGTTAGCTTTGAATTAAAGAACATTCAAAGGTAGAAACTATTGAGGATCGGTGCACTTCAGTTTATGGGGAAGCTGGGGGAGGAGGGTAGCTAATAAGTTCACG